TGGGTTGTGGCAATTCAAATTTGTTTCCTTTTAGCAATTGGACTCGAAAAACTGTCAACCTAAAAATGCTCCACCTGCGGTGTCGCATTTTTATTAGTTGACAGTTTTTCTCGTCTAATTGCTAGGCAACGGATTTTCATTACCTAAACAACCCAAATTTACTCGGTAAAATACAAACCTCTTGTGCAATTATAAGTGAAAAATCGTATGGAAAGTGGTACTTTTTTTCCCGATTTTTACTATGCGTTTCCATGGAGTTTAGTCCTGTCTATGAACAATAGCATCCACTTTTGAGTGACAGTAAATCGCGAATGTCAATAAAATTATTCAATTGTGGGTTATTATGGATCACTATGCAAAAAAATGTCGTGTACAACACGTGTTGAAAGTGTCTTTTTTCCATGAATTTGCTTGATTAACTCGGGCTTCGCCCTCATTAATCAAACTACAAATTCATGAAAAAAAGTATCACTTTCAAAACTAGTTGTACAAATAACTATTTCCACACATCTTCATTCATAACTCTATCTGACCATTTGATATCCACATTTCCAGACTTTCTATTCTTTTCTTCTCTCTTTCACCTTAATCTCCACGTTGCACAGCCAGAAAGACACTTCACTAGCCTTTTCCTCAGCTCCATTTTACTAGCAAGCATAATTTCTCGTATATGACATGTGTCCTTTCTCAAATGATGCAGTTCTATGTAGAGGAATTCTCAAATCTTTGTTGGTATGAGTCAGCATTGCGTCATATCTTTCAGCGTTAGTAGTAAACAAAGAGAGATTTTTTTACAAACATTACTAGGGAGTATAGTAATATAAGCAGGAATAGTCATTATGCCTAATGCAGTAAAATGTGGTCTAGCAGATGATAGTGGTTTTGCGCCACAAATAGCTCTTATTATCTGCTTTTGAGCGCTATATATTTGCTGAGAGTGACTACTCTAGAGCCCCAGAACATAATGCCATACAGTATGTGGAACTGAACGTACGAAGAGAGAAATCATATGGAATCTCAAATTGATAAATAGGACACAAGATGGCACGAATGCATGGTTGCACTGTCTTGATGAAACAAGGCCTTTTTCGCTAATTAAGGTCATTTCCTCTTGCAAACAATCTTTTACAATTATATTTCAGAAAACTGCCTCACCTTACCGACCGATGCCATTCTACGATGCTCACATTCACCTCCATTAGTTCATTCTTTGACTGACTGACTCACTTGCAAACTGTTTCGTACGAAAGGGTTAAACCACGGATATCCTTTCGTGAATGTCCTTCGCTGACACGTTCTCCAAACAAAAAAAAATTATAAAACCTTGAATTTCGATTTCGTCGATTTCTAAGTAGAACTTCAGAGCAAGAAATAGAGGAAGTTTAATATAATTATTATGCAGTAAACAAGCAACGTTTATTTAGTATAGCTTGTTATATAATTATACATACTTTTTGTTCTTTTTGCGCTACAAAACTTTACAAAGTAGGTAAATACTAAACTGTCAACAAAAGATTATATACAAAGTGAGATAGATTAAGTCACTTCCAATTTACTGCAATTACAAAGTACTTTTTTTTTACCCATAACCTTAGCGAATACGTTATCGCACAAGCTTAGATGTTATAATCAAAGGTTTTCATGTACCAAACCAAAAGATCCTGTCGAAAAACACCAAACTGAGTAATAATGCAGTTTGCAAGGCATGTAAGTAAATATGCATTAAAAGTGTTTTACAATTTTGCCATCCGAGTTTACCTTCATTAGCGGTATTATTCAAGTTATTCATTATGTTTAAGGACAACTCTGTGAATAATTTTATTTGTATGCGCATTTCAATTAACTCAATTTGGACGGCCGGAGTTCGTTTTTTATAAAAGTCTGTTAGATATTCTCAAACTTTAAAATGTAAAAAAAATTACTGCATATTGTAACTTGCGAAGAGACTTTACAGTTCAACAGATTTCAGCAAATAGTTGCTAGATTTTGGGAGTAGTAATGTATTTCAGAGAGGTAAATTTTTATAACCTGCATATAAGACGGCACCAGCACGCTCTTGCTGTGCTTGGCACGTTTCACGTTCTTCTGTTCTTATTTTACGATTCAAAATTACTGTTTGGAAATAAATTTGAATAGTTAATAGTATACTTACTTGAAAATCGTTTTTATTCTTAAAACAAAAGCTTTCCATATTCCCCGCTTTACCTCGATTTAGAATTAAATTTATTCTTCATTGATGGAAAATTCTTTTACTGCAACAACACGGATAGAATTTGAAAGTGGTTAGAGGAAGTGGTATAATGGTATCGCACAAGTAGTTGTTGACGGAAATTGTCATGTCATTTTCAATCGTAATGCTATCTATTCAGGAAGACATGTGCCTTTGCCAGATAAACTCATATGCTGATTTAGTATGTGTGGATTGAATTTACTCTGTTTAATGCGATTTCTGAACATTATAGATTGTGAACTGTTCCTAACAGAGTGAGTAATTCAAATTAACTTGCTCTGCTATATTTGACAAAGTTCTCGGTATCGAAACACGACACACTTTCTTTTGGAGATGCCGTTCTCCGAGTTTATGAATTGGTGAAATAGGTAGATGTCTTCCAGTCTTAATAGAACACGTACGTCTAATATAATTTAATTAGTTACGTTGTGGTTTAAAAATAGTTTAAATTTTTATATTTTACGCTATAGAGAAGGCTTGAAATTACGTTTTTATTATCAATACAGTTTAAAGTCTCTTCGTTGTTAATTGCTGCAATTTAAATTTTATCTGTCTTATACTTGCTCTTTTAATGCATTCTCGTGCCCACCTGGTACACTTACAGATTTAAAGGGAGAGGCTAAATTGAGCAGGTATATTAAAACCCTCGTCGAACCAACAATGGTGAAACCATGATTGTTCGTCTATTCTCGAAAAAAATAATGAATGAAGTGCTATGATGCTATTGTGACTACTTTCCTAATCCGTCCGTCGTTGATGATGGCCCATATTATATCAAACCTTTAAAACTATCGACTAGCGTCCTTGATAACAAACAAGCTGGAATATTGAATACGATGATGAAGATTGTCGGTAGCCGCTCGAATGTAATAACTTTTAATTTTTAACAACAAGAGAACCCCAACAGAAGGCCTATACTCTTTTCTAACCGTTGCGAACCAGCTGCCTTTTTCGTTGTCTCCAGTATTTAACGAAACATCAACTCCATCATGCAATAATCTCCTCTTTACGGTATTTCAAACTATTTACTAACAATTAGCCAATCAAAAGATTAACTAATGCCAACTTCAAAGGAACGCGCTCTTCTTTCTCACGAGAGGCATAATTGTTCGTAACACACATGCATTATCTTATCTGCGCCAGATGTGCATTTTCGTTTTAACGAATTAACGTTCGTTTGATTGATATCTTCTTATCGCAAATACTTAAATACCTTTTATGAAATACGCAAAATTTGGCCAGATGTTCCCAAATTATAAAACGCAATTTTACGTTTTATAATTAAATACCTACACAAATCTAAATAAGCGATAAAATAAAACAAACAAAATTACGCAATTACAAATCATTCTAAAATGGAAAAAATCAATAAAACACAAATTCAAATGAAATAAACCAATTCTGTGCTTATGAAATGAATTTGCGGCAATGCTAGAGGTTAATACAGCACTTAAGAAAAAAGTAATAGGCAAAAATGTAAAATCAAAATATCTGAATAAGTTAGAATTGCAAAAGCAAAGTTAAAATATCGATACTTACAAAACTTATGGCCGTTTGCACCGACAAATGTTAGTGGAGCTTACGTACCTTAAAATCCATGGTAACGATTATTGAGACAATGGTTACCATGGATTTTAAGCTAAATGCAAAAATAGAAAAATCTAACTTACGGCAAGCAAAAATGGCAAAAGATCCAAATTCATAGTGCATTTCCTATTTATCGAAACATCTATTTCGGTTAGGGAGTAACTGGAAATACCATTTCGTACGCGTATACCTCAATGAGTTAAACCAAATTAAACTGTTTTTAATTAGTTACTCGGCCTGCAGTTATCGGAAAAATATGGGACAACTTGCAAACATCTGGAAAAAATAGAGCACACTTCTCGTGACTTTTTCTAATAGCGTTCACTGCAACCTCTTAAAACGTCAGTTATTAATTATGCTTACGCAATTAGGCGCGTTCAAACTTCAATCCTCATTAATCTAATTAACACTTCGGCCTAACTGGAAGTTTCCCGGCACAACGACTGTTGTCGTTATCCACGCACGTGTACGCTGCAAGACTGATCACTTTGTAAGCACCTCGATTTGGAATTCGTTTTTATGCTAGTTTTCACTTACTATTTGAAACTAAAGTGGTTAATAATTAACTAACGGCGCTAAAATCTCAAAATATTAATTCGTCTCCATCTTCAAT